CAAAACATGCAAGTCATTTGTTATTTCTCATGTGGCCCACAAATCATAATGTCATTACACCAAATATGTTTCTAATATATCAGTATTCATCTTTGTAACTCTGTAGGGTTCTATTTCATTCCTGGTGCTTTATCAACTGAGGAACAATGCTGTTGGATCAGGGAAAGCTTGAAAACATTTCCACAGCCACCTAATAGGACTAATTTGACTGCAATATATGGTTCAATTTCTGACTTACTCATCGCTGCTAAAAATCAAAAGATATTGGTTGAAGCAGAAAATCCTGATATCCAAGAAAGAAATGAACAGAACAATTGTGGAGGGAAAACGGAATCCAAATACTTCAAATTTGTGGACTCAGAGAGCCAGAAAGGGGAAGAGCATAGGTCAACCGCAGCAACTACCCTTGTGAGGAAGCTCCGGTGGAGCACCCTTGGTCTGCAATTTGATTGGTCAAAGGTATGTAACCACTTGCTTCCATGGCAATGCTAACTGCTAACAATAAGCTCATTTATATCATTGCTTGGATTCTGGTTTGTGGTGGTATTGATGTATTATGAATTTCCGATACATTATACTGCAATAAAATTTTTAAATATATTCAAAAGGTTCTACAATTATTTCAAAAGTGTTTGATTCAGATCAATCATATTATTGTTATGAATCTAGAATTCCATTAGAGTGTTAAGTGTATGTCAAGGCCCATCCTACAGGACCATACGGCCCATGAGGCTCTCTATATATAGTTGTCATCTCCACTAGTGGAGATCATTCTCTCAAATCCCAAGGTTAGTAACATGGTATAACAGCAAGGATTAGGGTTAGGTTAGGATTAGTTCAATCCTCCACCCACAATCCAAATCAATTCAGCGACCATTATTCACACGCATCATGCATTTGTTCTGGCTTGCAGCCCGTTGGCCAGCGTTTCTTTGTAGCCGCCTGACACAAATCTTTGTCCGAGGGCGGTCTTTGGTGCATGGCCGGGGCCTCCAAGCTCACACAGCTTTTATCCAGGTCGCTCCCCTTTGGAGCTTAAGTCCTGGGAGTTGCTGATCGTCTTTTAGTTAGTTTGTGGTGCGTTGATGTGCTGGTCTCCTTAGGGTGTGTGTGTGTCCTGGTGCTTGGGTTGGGTCTCCCAGGCCCGTGTATTTTTATTCTACCTGACGCGCAGTCCTGCGTGGTTCGAGAAAAGAAAAACAGATTTTGTCCGGCCACCACTAGTCGATGGTCACCGTTGCGTGGATCTCTTTGTTTCTATGATTTGGGCTGTTGGTTTTTCACATAGCACTCATGATCCTGCTCTATGTATTCACCTCTCTCCACGTGGATGTACTTGGCTATTGATTATGGGAGATGATGTTGTACATATTTCTCATGTGAAGAAACAACTTGGTGTGCAATTATTTGGGTCCTCTCAGTTGTTTCTTAGGAATTGAGTTTTTACATTCTGCAAAGGGATTTTATCTTTCTCAGTCCAAATGCATACAGGAACTTATTGCTTATTCAGCCATTACTGATTGTTAGACAGATAGCCGGCCAGGCCTTATTCGCCGTGTCTATTGGTCGAGTCTGGGCCTTGAGCCTGTATGGTTTTCTATAGATTGGTTTCTAATCTTGATAGCCAAGGATATCCAACGGTGGTGATACTTCTATAAACCAACCCTAGATGATCCTTGCCTATATATGTACATGTACTCCATGACTCTGTAATCTATCTATTTTTTTACCATGCAATTCCTTTGATTTCACTGATAACTGCACGTCTGCAACACCAATAGATCTGCACTTGCAGCTTCATGCTACTGATGGTATGCCTCTTGAGGACCCTTCTTGCTATCATTATATTATGGATAGCCTTTTTTATCTCATTGTTACCAAACCTGATATGGCTCATGCTCTTCACAGCCTAAGTCAGGTTGTGAGTGCCCATACTTCTGTTCATTTTAGTCATTTGCTTCGTGTGCTGTGATTAAGGGGGACATCATCTCAGTGCTGGTTTTATGCTTGTGGTAATCCGCTTCAGCTTCATGCTTACTCGGACTCCACTTGGGTGAGTGACCCCACGGACCACCAATCTCATAGGCATAGCATTCTTCTTGGTTCTTCTCCTCTTAATGGAAGTCCAAGAAAGAAGCCACTGTATCTCGCTCTAGTACAGAGGCAAAACTTCGAGCACTTGCTACTACCATTGCAGAGATTATATGGCTTCGATGGTTGCTAGCTGATTTTAGTATTTCCTGTGGTGCCCCACACCTGAGATTGCCAATGATCCTATGAAACATGAACTTATTAAGCATATCGGTGTTGATGCCTTCTTCACCTACTCTCACTGGCATCATAATTTCTCTTCGGTATGTGTCCTCAGAGTCAGAGTTGCAAGTGGCACATTTTTTTCGCTAAAGCACAATCTCGAGAGCAGCATCCACTTCAGATCCTTTGCTTCCACCTTGAGTTAGAAGGGGCTGTTTACTGTATGTCAAGGCCCATGCTATGGGCCCATGACCATGAGGCTCTCTATATAGTTGTCATCTCCACTAATGGAGATCATTCTCTCAAATCCCCAAGGTTAGTAACATAGAGCACATAATAGAATATTACAACTGTAAGGACATTCACGTAGCAGTTGACTTAAGGAGCTATTCTGCCAGTTCATAATTGTTCAGGTGAAACTATATTTGGACACAACTATCTATCGCAAACAATATCTCACATTGGTCATATAACCTGTATTGAAAAAAAAATACTTGGCTGGTGGATATAACCTGTATTGTTATGACACTAGGTTAAATATTATATTCGATTCTTGCTTGACTGCACAATTTCTACAAACTGTTGCTAGAAGTAGCATATTATGTCTTCATTTTCCTTTTCCTTTTGTAAAATCCTTATGCTTTGGCAGCGCAACTATGATGTATCACTTCCACACAACAAGATTCCAGATGCTCTAGCTAGTCTTGCCAAAAAGATGGCTATTCCAGCTATGCCTTCTGGAGAAGAATTCAAGCCAGAAGCTGCTATAGTGAACTATTATGGTCCAAGTATGTATAGCTTGTCTCTTGAGATAGTGAGCGCCTTAGATTGATACATTTTCTTTGGAGTTGTCTTGATGAACTGTATTCATGCTCCTTTTCATTTCTGTACTGAAATACTAACCTTTGATTGATGTAGGTGACATGCTTGGTGGCCATGTTGATGACATGGAAGCAGATTGGACAAAACCTATTGTAAGCATAAGGTATGATGGTCCAGCTTCTTACCTTTTTTCGTGATCTTTACTTCTACTAAACATAGTGTCTTACCAGTTGCCATTTATTCTTTTAGTTTGGGCTGCAAATGCATCTTTCTTCTGGGAGGAAAGATAAGAGATGAAGTTCCAACAGCAATGTTCCTGCGCAGCGGTGATATAGTTTTGATGGCTGGGGAAGCACGAGAACGCTTCCATGGTATTTTACGTTATGAAATGAAAGTTATTTGTAAATAAGATTAGAACACCATGAAACATAAAATTTCATTTCTATTTTGACCTTTGGTTTGCATTTCACAGGTGTACCACGGATCTTCACAGACCAACAAGAAATCTCTGCACTGATTTCACAACTATCTAGTGGAGATGACGTCTTTATCTTGGACTATATCAAGAATTCTAGGATAAATATCAACATCAGACAGGTCTACTGAAGATCAGATTGGTTGCATACTTACACATGAAAGATTGGTGCGAACTGCTGCTTTCTTGCTGCACAGTCAGGTCCATTATCTAGTATGGCTCAAGTAGGCGCATCTGGAATAGCAACGGAGGATCTGAAGGGTTGGAAGGTCCTACCATAGTCATCAAACTAACCATATGTGTAACTTCCAGGATTTTTTTTTTTTTTTTTGGGGTGGTGGGAAGGTTTGTAAAATTTGATAACCTGGCAGAGATATCAAAACTTGTGCTGGATTGGTGATCTAGGGATTAGCCATCGCTAGCTGATTTCATGTTATGTTTTCTGATGTGAATATGCTCCTCAATTTTGCTGCTACTGTAAAGATATTTGTAGATCTGTTTGAACTTATTGCTTGATGTTTCTCTCATTTTGAACAATCTTAGGCTTTCTCAGAGTTCATTATCTAGTATCTGTATGTTCTCTCATCTCGAGGAATTTTATTTGCCAGAATCATTGGATGGATTGAGCTTTTGTTCAGTATTGCATGGCTATCCAAAGGCACTTATTTGTTTTATGAGGCTGTTTGGTTCACAGCCCACACCAGCCACTCAGTTGTGGCGTCGTCTAAGACTTGTGACGGAGAATATGGCCGTCACACCTTGGCATAAATTTCTACTACGAAAGCATGTGGCTGCCCCACCTGAAAGCTGAACCAAACAACTGCCTTTCCTCTGTGGCGCCGCAGCTTTGGCAGGCGAAGTATGGCGGCGAGCCAAACACCCCCTATATCTGGATGTGAAAATTAGTTCAGAGTCCATTTGCGGATTTGCGAACAACCCACCTTGCATCCATAGTGATGGGATTGGGCAGAAAGCTATGTATCATGCAAGACAAAACAAGTCTAAGACGATTTATGACGAATTGTTTTATTACGTGTCTTCGTCCAGTTTAAAGATTGCTAATGTGTCAGCAAATACAATAAAAACAAAGCAAGGTTATGCAGTTCTTTTTTTTCTTCAGCCTTAAACGAGACTCAATAAAGAATTCAAATAGCGAGAATCAATACTTCTAGTGTGCTTCAATATTTGTAACTCCCTAAAGGCCAAGAAAGGAGCATGCACCAGAAGTATATTTGCAAAATTCAGAATGTTTTACATCCCAGTGAACTATCTTTGCAAAATCAGTATGTTCTGCAGGGTTACTTGTAACAGCTACACTTCTCGACATGCAATTTGTATTTTCCAGAAATCAAATCGACAGGACTGCTCGCTCTTTTTAGCAATTATACAAAGGTGCACAGGCACCACATGAACAGACGAGGCAGGTACTGATCTCATCTGTTGGAATATATCACTTTTGAACAATCTTTTGGATTTGCTCTGGACTCAAGATCGATGCATTGATGTCAAAATTAGCTTCTTCCAATTCTTTGTGCAACTGCAAAAGGATTACAGGCAAGTAAACATGTAAGTCGATGCACATACAGTCCCAAGTATGACAGATTGGCTCTCTGGGCTATATTTCCTCATTTCAACTAGCATGTTCATTTGCTGGAGCAATAACTCAAACCATGTAATTAGCAGCTTGATCAACAAAACAATAAATAACAGAATGTTTTAACAGGAATAATGTGGAGGTGTCTCTTCACCTGTTCTTGTATTATTTGTTGAGCATGTAGTTTTTCAGCCAATTCTCTGGGTTCAAGCTCAGCTTCATCAATAGCCATTTCTTCTCTATTAAATAAAATGACAATAAATAAACTAAATATGAGTCTTTGACCAAAGTTTACTCTAGGAATCTCTGCTGTAAATCTCTAATGTAATAAAGTAGATGTTGCCACAACATTTCCTTGTTATAACAACATTTTTCACATGGTTTTTCTTATGTATCTTGTTCTGTGCAAAGGTTACTCATCTAATTGATTGCTGGTTTCCTATTAAAACAAATCAAGAAGTAACATATAACGCAAAATCATTAGTGTGTTCATGTTCATACTTATATCTAATACATAAGTATACTGATATTAGTGCTCTCTCCCTACTATTAAATGTATATGCAAACATGGAACTATAACTGGAACCAAATAAAGTACCATGCATGATTGTAACTACAAGACTGGACACGTCAACCCGAAATATACAAAATATAAAATAAAATTTCTGCTCATCAGCATTATGTTAGTGACTAAGGGAAATGATAAGCTTTATTGACTGTAACAGTCATCACTGCCCCCTTGTTTTCTTACAGTACACTATTTTAGACTTATTGGCACCAACATGTAAGACACTTACTTGGCAACAAATTGATAGAATTTAATCATCAAGTCCATGTCATTTTCATAAACAACGTTGACCTTTCCTAGGCATCCAATACCAAAACTTGGATCTGACATTCAGAAATAACATGTCAAGATGAAATTGTTGATTTCCACCCTAATGCAAAGATGAGTACAGTCGTTTTTAAAAACAAATCTGAAATGTGAAGGAAATAAACAATATTCTTTTGAGAAATACAATACTAGAAATCTAGATTATTTAAATTAAGCAAGCATTATATCCTTGGATCTTGACATAAACCAACTAGCAATCAAGTACTCAGCACAACTACTTGATACAAAAGCAATGACCAGCATATAAGTAGGTCAGCCTGGCATGTCAAAGTAGGCAGAGTAAAAGGATTTAATGTTCTACAACATTTATCTTAACTGAGCATGACTGCATGAATCGACAAGACTAGTGAATGTTATACCTTCATGTGCCATAGATATTTTATGAGTTAACCATGGCAAAAAAAATAAATAAATAAATCCTTCACCAAAATGTTAATGAAAATGGTAATATATCCAATAGAGTTCCAATCCTGAAGCAACCCAATTTCTGAAGACAATCAAAATAGCAACTACGATCATATACGGTTTTTCCTTCGCCATTTGGCAGCTTCAAATAGAACGATAGATTATTTAGATTCCTGAATTTAAAAACATAGACTAACTCTTATGGTTCTATATTGCTACTGCTATTTATGGTTCTTCTAAATTACTACTGCCATGGACATGTCAATTTCAATCAAGACAAAACTGGTAAGATCTATTTAGTTGATTTAAGAAAAAAACAGGGTTATCGTTAAACAACAAGTGTTCTGTCTCTTGCAATATATATAGTTGAGTTTTTCTTCTATCCTTGTCTACTATAGATCAATTATTCACTTATTGTAATAAACATGCTAGTAGACTACAGATATAATCGACCCAACGACTAAAGTTCCTGATAACCAAATAAACTGGTCCGTGAATCAATAAATCAATGGGCAACATTGAAAATATCATGACTAAGAACCAAACTGGCGGGAATGAGTGCTATTTACTAAATCACATGTATGACACGCAATGCCATAATAAACATTGTCAAAAGAAGAATACCCCAGCTAATTCCATATCTGTGAATCTACCAAATGCACATACATCAGCATATGTTACATGGTGTCACATCATGATATCAGTAGCTGTAGATATGATAACATGGCCAATAGTCCAGTGTGTTGCATTGCAGTTCTTTCTTTATACGTATAGTAAATGCATCATCGTTCTCAATCCGATTCTTACTCCTCATCTTCATCAAATCATTGTAAACTAGTACATGCCTAAATGCTACAGCCTACAGAAAACCTCAGAGACAACATGGTGTTCAAGTGGAAGGCAATTCGCGTACCTACTCCCATCTCACGAAGAATCTCCTCTTGTATTTCAGTGGTCATGGCCACAGCCTCCTACAGGGAGAACAAAGCACAAACACACTGTAACTTTCACATACATGTCCAGGCCTTCACATGCAAATTTGTGCTAAACAAACTGAATAATCGTTTCACAATTTCCCACATCGCAAGGCCCAAACTAAAATTTTGAAAACCCAAGGCAATCGAGCTGTATAAGTGAAACGTCAAGCTAATCAGCCAAAAGCCCAAAGATGTGGACGGGCAGAAAACACAACATTTCAAGAACCGCTCCCCGACGAGCCCCATCCATCCCTCACAAGTCACAGGAGACAATGAGAGCGCTAATCTAAAGAAGCGGAAATGGCGCCCGGATTGCGCGGGCATCGCACCTGCTTGTCCCTGACAGCGTCGGCAATCCGCTGCTTGACCTCTGGAACGCGGGGACAGGGAACAGAGGTTAGGGAAAACCGGATGGGGAGCGAACCGGAAATGCGGCGAAGACGAAGACCCACCGGGGAGGGAGGTGAGGAAGGAGAAGCGGGCGAAAAGGTGGAGCAGCTGCTCCCTCGTCATCATGCTCTCGCCGCCGACCGCCGCCATGTCCGTTCCCTTCCCTTCCTGCAGTCTGTCAGTCTGTGGGGTCTGAGTCTGTGTCATCTGTGATCTGTGGTTCCGGTTCCGGTGGTGCCTGTGTTTCTTTTTTTTTCGCCTCATTTTTTGCTGTTATATTTTTTTTTGAAGGAAAGCAAAAATAAATATGGGCCGTTTGTGGTCGGGTGCACATGTCTGGAGGCCGGGGCGCTTGTTTAATTTACCTGCGGACCAGTTCAGGCAGCCTTCCCAACTCCTGCACCAGAGTGTTTGCAGCGACTGCCTCCACCTCGCTCTCCGCCCATCGCGGCTGCTACTTCGCCTCGCTGCTGCCGCACACCCATCTCGTGCCGCACGCTCCTTGCCCCCCGTCGCGCGCACTTTGGCTCCCTCCCGTAGCGCGCCGCCCGTTGCCCCCCGTCGCTTGCGCCTCCCGCTCCCTCCCGTCGTTGGCCCTAGTGTTGGTGCTGCTCGCTCCGCCCGTCGTGCGCGCCGCGCCCCCCATCGAGCCAAGCGGGGTGCTTGTGGTGGTGCTCACGCGCGCCACTAGTGCTGGGTGCTGGTGGTGCTCGTGCGCCGCCGCTTGCTGTCAGCTCCGACCTCAACGGCTGGAATCGACCAACCCCGGCCTCCCCCATGTTCCAAATACATGTTTCAACTGTTTCAGATGTTTCATAGCTATGTTGCAAGTGTTTCATACGAACGTTGCAAAAGTAGATCGGGATGGTGCATATATTGCAATGGTTGTACACGTATGTTGCAAGCTCTTGTTCTCAATGTCTCATCTGTTTTTTCCGACGTATGTTGCAAGTGTGTTTATCTGGATATTGAATATGTTTTCACACATATGATGCAAGTGTTTCATCTGGATGTTGCGTATGTTTACAATGGTTTCAAATGTTTTTCAAGTTTTTTTGCAAGTGTTTCAGACGCTTGTTTCAAATGTTTCATTTGTTTTTAGACGTATATTGCAATTGTTGCATCTGAATGTTTTAAATCTAGATCGGGTGTTGCATCTTTCTCCTCGTCTTTCTGCTGTCTTGTCTCGGTGTCAGGCGTAGGAAGCGAGCGCAGGCGGAGGCGGTTCCCACTGGCACGGCGCGGGCCCCACGTGCTTGCGAGCGGGCGTAGCAGGCGAGACGTGGACAGGCAGGCAAGGGACGTGGGACGGGGGGCAGCGGCATGGGCATCCGAACGGGGGCTAGCGTCCGGACGTCCAGACGCTAGCCACCCCGAACAGGAATTGTCAAGAGGCGCCAACATTGCTCATTGCATGGGAAAAATGTAGTAGTAGTAATAAATTGTTATTCCACTAAAAAGAAGTAATAAATTATTGTTTTGGACAGGCAATTGTTGAAGAAATTCCTTTTTTTTATGGAAGTGTGTTTCAAGACAAAACTACGGACCAAGGTATGTTTTTTACGTTCCTAGTACAAACCAATTCATGCACAACATGTATTTTGACCGAACCACTACGGAATCATGAAAATAATATAATATTGCAAATATTAATTAAAGTAATGCATGCTATCTTTTATTTCGTAAAAAAATAACTACCCCCTCGAGCAAAAGCAATAGTCACACTTTACTTTGCATGGTTCTCGATGCATACAATTTTTAAAAATGATTTTTTAGAATATATTCTAAACTTTTTTAAATTCATTCGATTGTACAAGCATTATTGGATACAGATATACACACATATAACTTACATGTTTTTAAATTAAATAATTTAAAAGTTTTTGACATTTGTAGTTTTAAAGATTTGACCAAACCTTAGCGTTAGCATCATGTTTTTGTGAATAGGGGTTGTATATTTTAACTAACACATACTTGAATTACGAGTAAATTTAGTACATAATATCGTATAATAGGATCATGTCCATGCATGTGACCATGTCCAATCTGCTCTCAAGTCGCTTGTATATAGCTAACATTATAAGAATGTTTCCCATATCTTCCATGACTCATTAACAAAATAATATGCTCTGTCCTGTCTGTCCATGCTCAGGATAGTTACACAATGCGTAGTGTGTCTATCTAATTTAACAATGAATATTGTACATCAGTATCAAGTGGAATATTATAATGCATGGCTAAGCGAGAAGCTCTCTGAAGCTACGTACGTACCCGGCCAAGCAAGTCACCCACTGCAGCTGCAGGTTGTCCCAATCAGATGAGCACGAGCGTGAGAAGAACGCGGATCGTCGGAGGAACAAAACCAAATCGTACATATCTAATCTCCGGCCGGCAAGATCTTTGACTCGCGCGTAGCGTGCGAAAGCGACAGGCTCGCCTGCAGGGGCCTTCAGTATAATTTTCATTATTATCGCATTGATTATATTCGAGCTTCATCAGGCAGCTACCAGCTAGCGCCGCCAATAATGCCATCAATTGTGGATTAATTTGTGGTGCTAATTGAATGACGATAAGGCCTCGTTCGATCGCCACTAACTAGTGGATTAAGTAAGTTGTTGTGTGATGGTGGTGATCAATCGATTGATGCTGCACTAAACTTACAAGTCAAGAAACCAACTGCTCCAAAGCAGTTCAATTTACCAGCTGGGGTCAGCTCATCAGCACTCAGCTCCGGTAAATTGCTGCAGTGGAGAAAGCGAGATGTATATATCTTGTTTGCTATTTCCTCGGTTGTAGGTTATATAGTCTGCTTTAGCTTTGTTTGTCTTACTTAAGTAAACTTGTCTAATGATTTTTAACCAAGTCTATAAAAAAATATCGACATCTACAGATTTATAAAAAAAAATACACTATCTATACATATTTTATGAAAACTTTAATAAAAGTAATTTGATATCGTAGATATTCATACATTTTTCTATAAATTTAATGATCAAATTTAACAAAATTTAACTTAGGATAGGATAAGACTTTTGTTTTGGGTCTTTTACCGTTCTTTTCCTACTTGGTTTTATTATTAGTGAGGTTTCCCAATAGTGAGAAACCCTTCGTTCCCTGAAAAAACGTCTGTGGTGTATAAAGACAACCCAGCTGAAAAATATGAATAAATCATCCGGATATCAACCGTACATGTACATATATAGTGGGGATATATGATAAAGACAAAGGATTCCAAGCCACCAAACATAAACTACAAATATCCAGATTCTTGCTTTGTCTAATTAATTTGTGACACTTGAGCAGATATGAATACAAAACTAGATAGATAGATCTTTCGTTTCACGTAAGATAAAGTAAGAAAAGTAAGAAGAGTAAACAAGAAGTTTTTCTTGTAATTGTCAACATTTTTTACCATGGACCTCCGAACCGGCATGGTTGACGAAATATGCTATGTGCATAATTTATTGAGCAATGGCATCACTGTGATGACTATACCTGCACAAAGCAGCTTTCACCACATCAAAATAATAACTAGCTAGTAGCTATCTATCACGTCCAGTGATGTGACTCGCTTGACTACTGAAGCCAATGAACTATTTACCTTAATACACATGCTATGCTACGACCCTTACTAAATGTGAAAATATATATGGAGCTGTTTGGTTCCCTCGCCAGATAATGTGTTGCCTCGCTGAGTCAAGATACACTGTTTTATTTGGATGTATTGCCTAATAACAACCTTAGTCTCGTGCATGCGAGTTTTGTCTTTGCTAGCCGAAGAGAGCTGAATTGGTTCTCTAGGCTAGACACGTTTCTCGTGCTCCATGCCAGCCAGACAAGGGTAGGCTATAGGTGAATCATGATGAGAAACCAAGCGCGCCACGGTTACGTATCGTCGATCCAGTAACACGACTTTGCTGAAGTTCCCAAACATGGGAACCAAACAAACAAGTTACTGCAAAGACTACCTAGCCACCGATTTACTACGGAGACTCCCCAGTAGTAGCAGGTGCTAATTTGTTATTATTTTTGAATCTATATATGTTATGGTTCTACCAAAAAATATTTTTTAGAGAAGTCTTTTTTTTTAGAGATGGCTCAATCATTTTCTAGAGACAGTATTTCCAAGCGCCTCTAGAGATGTCCACTATGAGGCGGTTAGTACACATAAATCCCTCTAGAAATGGGATTCTAGAGACAGTTGAAGGGGGCAAATTTTTAGAGGTGGTTGCAAACTTCACTTCTAGAAATTAATTTCCAAAGGTGGCTAGCAATATGGTTCAAATAGGCGCAACACCAAAAAATTATAACTTTTTCACTTCTACAGAAAATTTAACCAAGGCGGGCAAAAACGATTAACCGAGGTGGTCATCCCATCCGCCTCCGCGAAAAGGTCACAGTTAGTCCAGCCTTAACGGAGGCGGTTGGTCACCCGCCTCGGTTAATCAAATAAAAAAACAAAAAAAAATGAAAACTCATGGACAAGCCGAGCGAGCCCACCCACAGGCCCTCCGAGCCCATCCATGGGCCGCCGCCACCGCCGTAGCTGTTCGCCGGTGACAGCATCCCTGCCGGACCATCGGTATCCGGCCGCCCAACGCTAGCCTGGTCGCCTGCTGCTGAATTTGGCCTCCGGTCGCCGGGATCCGGTCGCCCGCCGTCGAGATCCGGCCGCACGCCGTCGGATCTGGCTTCCGGCCACCAGATTTACGAGCAAAGGAGGGGAGGGGAGGAGCGCCGCCAGATCCGGCCTCCCCCACCGTCGGAGTTGATGCCCGTGACGCCGATGAGGCCTCCCCCGCCGTGGATCTGCAAGGGAGAGAGGGTGAGGGACGGATCCACCATGGATCTAAGAGAGAGAGAGGAGGGCATACCTCTTCCGCCGGAAGCCGAGGCGCGCAGGTCGCCGGTGGCCGCGAACTCTGTCGCAGTGGAGACGCCGGCACAGTAGGACGGGGTGAGGGATGGATGGCACCACCGTCGTGGGGAGAGCGATGGATGGCACAGTAGGACGGGGTGAGGGATGGATCACAGTTTAACCTTTTTTCATTTGAAATCGTTTAGGGGCTCAAATATTAATTGTAATACTTGCTAAAGTAAATACAAAAAGGATAATATCATTCACTGGGTCACAAATAAGTTTGTGGTGG